GTCCTTTTTTATCATGGGATTGTCTTCCACTCATTCATGTTTCTTAGTGGTGTAGTTGGTGTAGTTGGTTTCTTTAGGTATATTTTTCTTTGATTAAATGGGATCTAACATAACAAATCTGTTAAGGTAACAATAATAACTAACAAAATCATTCACGTTTGAACATAGATTTAACAAAATATATTCTATTACTTATTTGTTATTCTGTATATTCTGTGAATATTTACACTATATTAACTTAACAATATCACTCCATTGTTAGCTTACATAAGAGGACAAATCTGTGTCTACTTCTTTCTGGCGTACTCCTCTATTGTCTGGTATACTCCTTTCTCCAATATCTTATTTGGTACAACTAGTTGTACCAAGGCACAACTATCCCCAAATGTATTTTCCAAGCTGCCCGACCTCCAAGTACACTTTTCCCATTGCAGGAAGTACACAGGGCTAGAGACTTGTTTTTATGCTCTGTGGGTTCCAGATCTTTTCATGGAGAGGGTCCATAGCGATGGGCAGTGGTCACTATTTTGTCCTAATGAATCTCTGGTTTGGCAGATTGTTGGGGCGCTGAATTTGAGACACTATACACGAAGTATGAGAGGCGAATCCCTGTTTTATCCATGTTTATGCTGCTTCTTTAGTAACTTGATTTCTTGTTATCTCAATACTAGTTATGTTTGTTCATGTTTATAGGGCAAGGCCAAGAAGATTGTTCAGGCGCAGCACTTTGGTATGAAATATTGACATCCCAAGTATAAACAGAACACTATATATGCTATTCAAGGTAAGGGACATTCATGATTACATGATTATGTTACTAAACGTTATAGTCCTATAACCATTGGTTCTTTCTGTTAATTTTGATACCCTACACTGTAGGATTCATGTAACATAAAAAGTAATCAGCAAAAGTTGGGTACTATAAAGTCATCCAATTTATACACTGAAATCATTGAGTACACTGGTCCAACAGAAACTGCTGTGTGCAATTTTGCATCTACTGCTTTACCTAGACTTGTAAGGGAGAAGGTGAGTAGGAAACTAGTTTGCCAGATCTCTAAATTTTTGTTTTCTTTGCCACTCGACTCGAGGTACAGCTCTTAACATTCTTCATATCACAACAGGACGTCCCATTGGACTCTCATGCATTCAAATTAGACTTGTAAGGGAGAAGGTGAGTAGGAAACTAGTTTGCCAATCTCTAAAAAAAAATTTTCTTTGCCACTCGACTCGAGGTATAGCTCTTAACATTCTTCATCTCACAACAGGACGTCCCATTGGACTCTCATTGTGACACCCGATCCCTGATCACTTTGAGCCCTAGGTCTCGTGCCCTAACTTGCTCAACAAGCAACATACCTGCACAAACTAAAAGGGAAAAA